TATTATTACATGAATATAACATGATTCATTGATGAAATACAACTGCTGTGTGAAAGATGGAAGTTAGGAAGGGCCGAATGTAAGACAGGCCTGCGTGCCTAATTTGTAACCGTTTGAAAATAAAGTTCGTTCGTTCGTTCGTTCGTTCGTTCTTCTTCTTCTTCTTCTTCTTCTTCTTCTTCTTCTTCTTTTTCTTCTTCTTCTTCTTCTTCTTCTTCTTCTTCTTCTTCTTCTTCTTCTTCTTCTTCTTCTTCTTCTTCTTCTTCTTCTTCTTCTTCTTCTTCTTCTTCTATTGTGCTCACCCCTTTGACGGTTTTTCTACAGGTTTGTGTTGTCGCATAAGCTAAGCTGCGATATCTGCTCCTTTTGACCTAACGCATTCAATTTCATCATTTAGTCGCCTTTTATGGCATGGTTGCAAAAGGGACAGTACGTCTATACCACCCAGTCCCTGCCCTCTTGACAACTGGACCGCAAAACCTGCATGGATGTGTCGTCATATAATATGACACTATTGATTTTCAGCCTGTGTTAATTTCTTTACGGCAGGTTAACCAGATAGTTGAACTAGATAACTAAGGTCATAAAATGAACAACATTCTACATGCCTGCGTTATCTTTTGCTGCATGACAAACTTGTTTACCTTACGTGGTAAGTTTACTAGTAGGTTTGATTTTTAGTAGTCTTCTTCCTCTTCTTTATGTCCTCTTTTACCGCTTCGGATCTAGAGGGAGATACAAGGTCCTGCTTCGTGCTCTTCTCGCTGCTTTGACCATAGACACATCGTGGTGCTGTAAAGTTTCTCTGATGTTATCTTCCCATCTACTTTGTGGTCTACCTCTTGCCCTATGTCCCTCTCCTCTTTTGGTATATGCCTTGTATGGTATATCATCAGGAGGCATTCTCTTCAAGTAGGCAAACCATTTGACTTGCTGTCTCTTTTTGCAATTTAGAATTGGTTCTGTGCCGACTTTATCTCGTATGACCTCATTCCTGATTTGATCTCTTCTGGACACTCCTACATCCTTTCTCAGACACCTCATTCCCATGGTCACTAATTTTCTATTGTGTTTTGTTTTGAGTGGCCACGTCTGGCACCTGTAGCATAGGATGGGAATAAATATGCTTTGTAGGAGATGTTTCTTTGTGCTGACTGAAGTTGTCTTATGCCGTAAGGACTGGAAGGGGCGCGTAGCTGTGCCAGTACTTTATTAATTAATGAAGATTAATTATTATTGCGGTTGTGAAATGTATAAATTTGTTCATGAGTTAATTTTTCTTTTTAGTTCAGCATCACATAACAGACCTTTACATAACGTCGCTCCTATCAAGGCTAGCCTGAACTTGGTCCCTCGCCAGTCCCCACACACTTTCATACTTAAAGATAAAGGTAAAGGTGAGAGGATCTACTTCATTGCACCGGATTTCATCCCACAGGGATCAGTCTCTCTTTGCAGAACAGCTAGCTGCATTTCGAGAGCGCCGCACAGAGCACGGTGTCCATAGCTCCAGTGATGATCCTCAAAAGTCTATGTAAAAATTGTACTCGTAAACTGAACGGTATAGGATCTTCAGAGCGCGAGACAAACGGCTTGATCACTTTCCGCGGTGCCCCTCCCCCCTCCCTTTATGTTTTGTTTACATAAGGTGCCCAGTGACTTTACTTCTCTTCGATATTGTCAGACTCTGCATCATGTTCATGGGACCATGCCCTCTATTATTACAATTTTAGTTAAAGTTAGTTGTGTATCTTTTACAGGCATTGCAGAATCAAATTCAGCATTTTGCGTGCGCGCGCGCGCGCGCGTGTGTGTGTGTGTGTGTGTGTGTGTGTGGCTGTTGTGGTTTATCTAGGCAAATTTACGTCCAGTAGTTTACCATTTCTGTGGCTTAGGCGTTATGAAGCCGTTTGTAATGCCAGGATGCTGGGTTCTATCTTTGCTGCGGGCCTTGCGCTGGTTTCTACAGTGGTATCGAGAAGACGACCGCCCAGAAGCAATGGCAAACTACTCAACCTAAACTTGCCTAGGAAAACCACAGCAGCTAAAAATGCTGGGGTTGGTTCTGCATCGTCCTGTAAAGGATACGCAACTAACTTTTAGTTTGCCAGTGCTTACTGGACGGTTGGCTTCTCGATACCACTGTTAAAACCAACGCAAGGCGCAAGGCCCGCAGCTAGGATTGAACCCAGCACCCTGATATTACGAAGCGCGTTCGCAATGCCTCAGCTACAGATGCCAACATTATTACTTTTTTACTTAAGAGTAATCATTATAGAATTCATGAAAAGGGGAGAAGCGGTGGCATGGCGGCTAGACGTTCGCCTGCATATTCGAACGTCGTGTGGTTCGAGCCCAAACGGAACGGGACATTTGTCAAAAATTGACCTTGGCTCCCAGGTCGACTTAGCCTTGAATGGGTGCTAGGTGAAGTCCTGTGAAAATAGACGCGGCCGGTGTGATTTTTACCACATCACTACAGACTAGGCGTGGAAATGGGTTCTTTAATATTTGAAAGTCGGCTCTGTGACTAAGTCGATGCGAACGCTTCGTAATGCCGGGATGCCGGGTTGGATCCCAGCTGCGGGCCATGCGCCTTGCGTTGGTTTCGACAGTGGTATCAAGAAAGCCGACTGCCCAGCAAGCAATTGCAAACTACTGGTCGTAAATTTGCCTAGAAAAACCACACAACAGACAGGGGCTGTTAGGATTGGTTCTGCAACGTCCTGCAAAGGATACGCAACTAACCTTAAATATTTGAAAATTTGCAACTGTAGCTGTGAAGATGTGGATATACAGAAGTATAGATGGTATTTTATGGAAACAAAGCAGACAAGCAGTCAGGCAGGCGGATACGTTCAATACCCGTTCAACCTCCAGGAAAGTTATAATTCGAGCACCCGTACCGGTTATACCATCTGCTTTTGTGGTGAGCGATGTTTCTTCAAAATCCTAGTACTGTTTCTTCGAAATCCTAGTACAGTTTCTTCGCAATCCTAGTACTGTTTCTTCGCACTCCTAGTACTGTTTCTTCATAATCCTAGTACTCTTTCTTCACAATCCTAGTACTCTTTCTTCACAATCCTAGTACTGTTTCTTCACAATCCTAGTACTGTTTCTTCACAATCCTAGTACTGTTTCTTCACAATTCTAGTACTGTTTCTTCACAATCCTAGTACTCTTTCTTCACAATCCTAGTACTGTTTCTTCACAATCCTAGTACTGTTTCTTCACAATCCTAGTACTCTTTCTTCACAATCCTAGTACTGTTTCTTCACAATCCTAGTACTGTTTCTTCACAATCCTAGTACTGTTTCTTCACAATCCTAGTACTCTTTCTTCATAATCCTAGTACTCTTTCCTCATAATCCTAGTACTCTTTCCTCATAATCCTAGTACTCTTTCTTCATAATCCTAGTACTCTTTCTTCGCAATCCTAGTACTCTTTCTTCGCAATCCTAGTACTCTTTCTTCGCAATCCTAGTACTGTTTCTTCGCAATCCTAGTACTCTTTCTTCACAATCCTAGTACTCTTTCTTCCCTATCCTAGTACTGTTTCTTCCCTATCCTTGTACTGTTTCTTCGCAGTCCTTGCATCCTTTTAAATATTAGTAATTGATAACTTTTCTGTGCTAGATAATACTCATTATATACGTAATAATATATGTATTGATCGGCATTCATAAAAAGTAGGAAGATAGAAAGACACACTAGAAAACAAAAAAGCGAAAGCTATAATATCGTGCCGGGAATCGTACTGTCATCTTCAAATGGCGTACGCATCTCGCTGCGGAAACTAGTATACTGACAACCAGGTAACACCCCCCCCCCCCCCAAAAAAAAAGTGTCTTAGTTGGCCATGTCTATCGTACAGCTTTAAATCCACGACCATCGAGTACAGATAGAATTCATCTCAAACCATTAAAAGAGCACTATAAGTTACAGTAATTTATATTAACCAAGCACGGGTCGAATAACAAACATAGCAACATTTTACAAGCACAGTAGATCGTAGTGCTTTGTCAAGAGTACAACGAAAATTTTAAGAAAGAGATATTATTGGTAGATTCCATTGTGTTACATGTAAGGAGTCTCTTATGTCTTTACTCATCTTCTTAATTGTCTGACTGCATCGTGTTCCTGGTCCCTAACATGCACACGGTGCAGACGCTTGTCGGTCAATACATTGTCTGTATACTCATTGAATATGTAATGTTTCTACGGCATCCCCCTCTGTTTATTTATGGATAATAATTAGCCAGTATCGATTTTTTTTTTTTTTTAATACAAACATATGTCAGAGACCAAATTTACACATTTGTGGGACATCAGGAGCGTCTCTTGGCAGTGGAGAAATGTCGCAAGCTAGCTTGGTTTGGGCACATAGTGAGACATGATTCGATTGCAAAGACTGTACTTCAAGGAACATAAGGGAGGGGGGGGGGTGGTCGAAGAAGAGGAGGGCAAAGAAGATTCTGGTATCATAACATAAAGAAATGGACAGGCTTAAATTGTCACACACTTATTCATCAAGCAGAAGACATGGAAGGATGGCGGGTTTTATGTACTAGTGCTTCCATAAATACACCTCAGAATACTTTGTAAGTTTCGTCCTTCTTAGGACGTTATTTTTTGTTATTTGAAGCCCTACTCTGGCTTTTGCCAGGGGCCGCAATATAGGCAGGTCATCATTATGGCCAAATGTCTGAACGCGGTTTCTGGGACCTCTCCACGGTGATCCTCATCCGCATGGTGGCACTTTGTGTCATCGGGTGTTTATCGCTTGTGTGATGTCCTGGTGGGGTAAAAAATCCAATCCTAAATACACCTCCACGACCCTAATGGGTCAAGGGTTATGTTATTTATATATGTTAATCAGCCAGTCCTTTTGGAGATACAGCATGATAAGCTAGCACATGTTTATTATGTTTTCGAAACCGACGAGTTTCCTATTCGTGTCCTATTTTTCAGACAGTCATAATAAACCAGAAGTGAGACAGAATTGTTTATCGCTCGCCCAGGTGTCAAAGGAGCTGTGGAATAATGACGTTAACAGACTGGCGGCAGGGGACATCACGCTGAATTATCAAGGACACGTCCCAGCCACAAAACAAGTTGACATATCAAGCCAAAAGTACATATATTTATTAGTAATGTTGATGTTTTTTAATTGATTTATTGCCGATAATTGTAAAGTATATTTTTATAATTTTTTTTAAAGTGTTAGGCGTAATTAACATGTCAAATCCTATGGTCCCTTTTACGTTTTTCTACCTAAATACACAATGGTTGGCCTTTCATTCATGCTTGCTCACCTGTCACACTGACTAGTTTATGTTAGAGGGGTGTCACGTTGTATTGTCTTTGGTGCTGTCACCGGAGATCTCACGTCTTCTATATTACAATACGTCACCGCTTTTAACGACCCTTCAAGGTCTAGAAATAGCCTTAACCCCAGCCCGCTACCCCACAGCCTCAGCCTATGTCCCGTGGTTTTAGAACTGTTAACATGTTGTGGCCGCTGCTCACAACGAGTAGCACACAACGCAAAAAACTTTGCGAAGACAATACAAAGTGACATTCCAGTAACATTGACTAGTCGGTGTGACAGGTGAGCAAGCATGAATTAAAGGTGAATCAGTGTGTATCTGGGAGGGGGGGGGGGGGGTAATGAGTGCCAATGCTCTAATAAAGAAGTATCCGCACTACTTCAAACCAGCGACCGTAGGGGACGTAATCCATTATTTGTCTACGGCGGCAGTAAGGGACGTAATTCATTATCTTTCACATAATTATTTAATATTTAACATTGTTTAAGTTTGGGTTATGGCTAACCTTAACCCCAACCTGATTCAATATAAAAATATTAAAGAATATTATTGTGAGAACTTGTCGGTTGCTGTGGCTTAGGTGTTGCAAACGCGCTTTGTAATGCCGGAGTGTAGAGTTCGTTTCCAACAGTGGACTGTTGTGTGCTAAATGAGTCACCACACTACCAAGTGTCTTAGCAGGTACTCTTCCACCTCCTCTCTTAGAAATAGAACTCGACGACGATGACACCGTCATACATGTTTATTTAACAAGATACATGACACAAATGCAGAGACGTAGTTATTGATCTCAACTGACATTCGCACATGGTCCATTTGTCCTCACAGCTCTCTTATCTCTCAATTTGTAGCGGTCTCTCCTTGACTACTACAGCTCCAAGGACTACAGCGTCTCACACTCTGGACGCGTCGTACAGCTGAACAGGACGACTTCTCCTATTCACTGGACCTTGATAATAATTCAGCATAAATCACGGCTGACTGGAGACGGACTCCTCTTGCCTTACTCCGAAACCAGGTACTACTGGCCTTCCGTCCCCTGGACCTACTCTGCCAGCGGGACCATATTTTCAGTACCGAAATCCCGACACTCACTCAGACCTAAATGCCTGATAGTCGTACGGTATTCTAGTCTGTTAGACTTGCGAGAGATATCACGGACCCTGACTTGATCTCTGACTCTAGCTTTCTCTCTCTCTCTTCTCGCTTCTCTCTCGATTGCTTCTCGACTGCCTCTGAGGGGCTTTAGCCCTCAGGCTACAGCTCACTCCCCTCAAACCGTCTACGCAGCCCAATTTATCCCTGTCAAATCCGTGTAGGTGGATGATGTCTACACGAGAGGCACGCTCTTATGGGCGTTCTCGTGAATCATGATCATGTGGGTGATCTCGACTCATATGGGGGTTCTCGAGGATCACACTTATATGGGTGGCTTATGTTCCCTGAGTATCACGCTGTCACCTAATTCACACTTTCTCTGTTTATCTCATTAGCCATGCTTTCAGCCCCCCCCCCCCCCCCACACACACACACAGAGAAACCCACGCGTCCACTTTCTCTCGTGCGTGCACGCCTTGTTCATGAATAGACATTCTCACTGGTCTCCTCTCAATACTCGGACCATGTTGACACTATTTCCCCCGTGAACTTACAGATAGTACTGGCATACCACTGTCCCTTTACACAATATCACACTTTACCCAAATCAGCGCGCAACATGGACTTATTTGTTTTGCGTTAATTTTGACAGTCATACCTTCATTCATTATCCAATCCTAACGTCATTTTTATGACGAAATCTTTTGTTATTCGAAGCCCCACCCTGGCTTTTGCCAGGGGCCGCAATATAGGCAGGCCATAAATATGGCCAATTGTCTAAACGCGGTTTCTGGGACCTCTCCACGGCGATCCTCATCCACACGGTGGCACTTTGGGTCATGATGGTGTTTTATCGCCTGTGTGATGTCCTGGTGGGGTAGAAAGTCAGTCAGTGATACCGAGAATATTATACCCCTAGTAATGCCCCTGCGGGATGCAATTTTTCGTTATTTGAGCCCTACTCTGGCTCTTGTCAGGGGCCGCAATATAGCCCAGCCATAAATATGGTCTAATGGCTGAACGCGGTTTCTGGGACCTCTCCACGAGTGATCCTCATCCACATGGTGGCACTTTGTGTCACCAGGTGTTATCGCTTGTGTGATGTCCTGGTGGGGTAAAAGAAGATAGATAGATAGGTGATACCCAAAATTACGAAGTCGTCCCCTTGCGGTATGCAATTTTTCGTTATTTGAAGCCCTACCCTGGCTTTTGCCGGGGGCCCTGAATATAGCTGGGCCACAAATGTGGACATAACAGCTGAAAGGGGTTTCTGAGACCTCTCCACTGGTGATCCTCATCCGCATGGTGGCACTTTGTGTCACTGGGTGTTTATCGCTTGTGTGATGTCCTAGTGGGGTACAACAAGCATGCAATCAGCAATGATACAGAGAGCTGACCGTCCAGTAGCAGTGGCAAACTAGTGAATGTAAAATTTGCCTACAATAACCACTGAAGCACCCTTCCCCCCCCCCCCCCCCCCCAAATTGTAGGGTTGGTTCTGCAACGTCCTGTAAAGGATACGCAACTAAGTTAATTATGAGAACGTACACAAACACGTTATTGCGTCCCTTGCGGCCGCAGTTTCAAGCATTGATAAACGTAAAGTATCTTCTATACCCATTTCTTTTGATACCAGGAATGTTTTACTTGAAATAATAAAAACCTTGGGTGTTTCAGGGATCCTACATCCTTATTATGTTTTGGAATAATCACACACTTTTATTCTATGTTGCAATAATCATACACTTTCCTGTCTTGTCAATAGGCTTTTCACCAGTGTGAATGAGAACAAACTCTCCGGGCCTACCTACCAAACATTCATGTCCTTGTTGGACAACTACATCCCCGATAAAGGAGTCAGAGAGTCCCTGACTACAGGAGAAAGGAACGAAAACACGGCCTTCCTAAATGCTATACTAAATACCAAGGTGATGACCGTGTTGCTAAGCTACCTGCAGTGCAGAGGTGAGAGTTTATCAGCCATTTTGTTTTCTTCAAATCAGGTCAATTTTTTTTTGTATGCAGGAGTGTTGAGGATGATTAGGCAGACAGACTGGCTGACCCTACACCAATGGGTGATGAATTTAGGCATTAATGTCTTGAGAAAATGGTTCACCTAGAATCGATCAGGTGATCTGGTCAACACTGCCTTTAGCGGAAAGGCCAGGCGAACATATAATCAGACTGCTATCTGACACCATGGGAATTAGAAAGCTTCGCTGATTGCTGAAGATCGAAACGGAGCGTTTATTAGAATTCCTGAGTGTTTTGATATTAGTTCTTATCTCAACATTCAAAGTAATCAAAATTCAAGTAACGTCAGTGTTGGACATTTTGTTGTTGTCTATTTCGTCGATGTTTGTCCACTTCGTCAATGTTTGCCAATTTCTTCGATGTTTATCCACATTGACGATGTTGCCCATTTGGCTGTTGTTTACCCATAGCGTTGATATTTGTCCACGTCTTCGACGGCAATGATCGTCCAGACATTTCTTTTCATCCCCTGTCTTGTATTCATACCAGTTGTATGCTTTTATTTATTTTTTTCCTGTTTTTCTTTTATGTATAACAACAGATAAATTAGATGCAGTTGTGTTTTCTATTTTTAAGTGTTCACGCGCTGTAATTTCTTGGGGAATGTGCTGATGTTTGTCCACTTCAGAACTTAGGTCTTCATTCAAAACTTGAGTTTTTCGTGTAAATCCGTTTTACATGTCTGGCTTATTTGTGGGCAAACGTGAATCCTCGCCTCTCAGTCACATGCAGTCTGTTTGTGAAGGATACACCTCTAATTAGTGGTATATTACGACATGCTTCTGGTGATGGAAAGGGGAGGGGCTGCAGTTACTCTATTCTTTGTTCTCCAAAATAGAGGCCTTGAACTCACATGGGATGAGATGAATAAAAGAAAAGGAAAGAAATCAAGTAAACATCTGGACAGCCATTGGTAACCAGTAGTTACAAGACTTAAAAGGCAGCCATACAGCGGGTACATTCTGAGGCGAAGTAAACAGAGAATAACAAAGCAGACACTGAAATTATAACCAAATGGGTTGATGAAGCCAGGTCGTCCAAAAGAAACCACACAACGTCTGTTGACTAGAGAAGTCAGGGGCGCAAGATTCGGTTTCATAGACCACATTGAAAGGGGTGTATAGGACAAAATGGAATGGAGGTTCTTGTGACAAAGCAGACGCTTTGGTCGAAGAAAGTAGGTCAAGCAACAAACCTACCAGCCACTCCCCTTTTCAGAATTCTAAACCTTTTTTAGATACAATTTAAAAACGGAAAAATGAACACTGTTATCGCCATGAAAAAAAGATTTCATCAAACAACTAAACAAAATAGGCCAGGTCACAGTCCTTCGCTTATGCATTTAACATTGTATATTGACCAAACACATATATATATGAGGTATATTGTGAACACATAACATAACAAATTAGGTATGAGCTAAACAGCTTCATGTCAGTGTCTTAGTGCCTACCAAACAACACAACATGTCTTACAAGACTGTCCTCTACTGAAGGAGCTGTGAAACGACATGTGGCCACACCAAGCAGACGTGACATCTAAGCTTTGGAAAAACACCTGAACTAGAACTGATAACCCAGTTTACGGCCCGTAGTGGATTAAGCATTTGATCATAAATCACTGAAGTCTGAAAGCCTCATGTGAATATAAACGGCATAACAGGATGATAATGATGACGACGAAGACGACGATAACGATGATGATGATGATTCTGCTTTCTACACTATTACCTTATATGACCTTTTCTTCCACTAAGAGTGCCGTATTTTCTCCCCTTGTGTGAACTACTTCTCTGTAAGTTCATAAGCTCCATTTTGGGAGGAAGGAGGTAGTGTTGTGGGGAAAGGGTGGGGAGAGAGAACCATACCCTCAGTAAGCAGGTTGTATGAGGAAGCCGCTCTTTTCTTTTATTTCACTTATCTCGGGGCCACTGAGATTTAATGGGAAATTCCCGGGAAAGTCCGATCGTATAGAGGTGTTAGGGTTGTGATTAGTGATAGTGCAAGGCCTTCTCCAATATATATATATATAATATATATATATATATATATATATATATATATATATATATATATATATATATATTGGAGAAGGCCTTTGTTAGTGGGTTTTCATTTCACACCAACGAATGAAAGTAACACACACTGGAACTTAATGAGCAGTTCGCACTTTTGTGTGGAAGACAGTTTGTAGACGCGGTGCACACACTTTTAATTGTATGAACACCAAAAGAAGTCATGGGATGACACCCCTAGAATATAGGACTTTTCTCGGAAGCTACCTAGGAATTCTCGTAGCCCCTGAGATGAGGTGAAATACAAGAAAAGACCCAACGCAACTATTTAGGGGTATTTCCGATGACGCTGAAGTGCTAATTTTAGCTGACAAAGACTTTGGGTGCTTTATTAATATCCTACCCCAAACAAGAGAAATCCACAGGTCACGGGACAGTCTAATATTTCAGGGGATGGTCGATAGGCTGCATGTAGTTGTGGAACCTAGGCTGCACTCTCTTGTGGGACGAAGGTAAATTGGAGTTAGGGTCAGTTCTGGATGTTTTGGGGTCGTTAAAAGCGTCAGAAAGCTGGGAAACCCAGTCTTACCACCCTCTACAATTTTGGACTGTCCTGTGACGTCATCTGGGGGTAGGATGTTAATAAAGAACCAGATTCCGTAGAAATGTTCGCTTGAGCTTTTGCGTTACATTTTGCATTAACTGGTTCTCTGTTCTTCAGGCTTCGTCAACAACCAAGCAGATCTTCGATCAGTTCTGACCAAACTATGGCTTGACTTCTACCCCCGTAGCGAAACCAGTACCGTGAACGATACCTCTGGATTTGAACACGTTATGGTGGGTGAATACAAATCTTCCACTGAAGTCAACGGTTTCCACAGCTGGCTATCGTTTTACCAGAAGGAGAAGGCAGGACAGCTCAATTACTATGGTTATGTTTCCAAAGGAGAGGTGAGTCAGGGGAATAATACAAATATTGTAGCTTCTTAAAAATTATGACCACTTCTCTTTCTTCTTCCCTAAACAAAAGGCTGTTGGGGCGTTGTGTTGTAGTTTACAGTTCGGCTGCGATATCTGGCTCAACACATCTGATTTCAACAAGCTTCCAAGTTGTCGCCTAGTACGACATGCGTATTAAAGGGAAGTAAGCATACTCACCCCTCCCCTGCCCCTCCGCCCCCGCCCCCACCCCCACCCCCAAAGAAGCCCCGAGAGTTTAGCCTAATATTTAGGTAAAACATCCATAGAGGAAAAACAAAGACGATAACAATCATAAAGAATAATAACTGTTTTCTCTTAATGAAAGGTAACTTTCGTGGTAACCATTTTAGGCAGTGTGGACCTGCGTGCGCGTGTGTGCGTGCATGCTATTTATTCCCTGAAAGCTGCTACTTAAAAAGTTTTGCACCACCAAGGAAGTTACTATTAGGGCACCCTTAGCATATACACCTGCCAAATGAAACTTGCACTCTTGTGTGGTGCAGTCTTGTGTGGGTAAGGATTGCAGGATTGTGCGGGTAAAGATGTGCGAGTAGACATGGAAAGAAAGCAAATTATAAAAATCTTCGTCGACATTGATTCAAAGCCAACCTTCAAAGAGCACAAGAGTTCAAGTCCTTATTAGGGCCACTGCTTCCATGGCCCTAAGATTTCAGGACCAAACCACACCAGCGTACAACAGTTTCTCTCCCTATATGGGCCTGTCCCTCTCAGAGCGAAAAGATCTTCTTATCCATGTCATATATATATATATTTGTGTGTGTGAGTGGTGTAATATTTCAAAACTTATTTCAGTAAGATACGATTTTTAAGATCAAGACTGATGAGATTTTATATTTTCGGACTTCATTTTCAAATGTGAACTTACTGAGATCAGTTTCTTCAGTAAGGTGTTTAACATTTTCAAAGCCTTAGTAAGAGTGCAGGAAGCTCTTTAAACAGCGTGAATCTGATCAAGAACGGCCCGGAAAGAGATAGATGGCCAGAAAAGACCCTCACCAGGACATTACATAGAGAATTAGAACCCGAAGGGCAGCTTACAAGATTCACCATTGGGATGGACACAGAAGAGCAATCCAAATTATAAATGAGACAGTCTCAACATAAATCAGGAGATCGAACAGGTAACAAGGTAACCCACCTGGACCAAAGGTGCAAAAAGAAAAAGGATTTAAACATGCAAAGATAGAAAGACAAAAAGCCATTAAACTTTACATTAATGGCAAATTGAGGTCAATCTACATGGCATAACTAAATTAGACCAAAATATCACCTAGGTTGTTCGCACCGGTCTGAACGTAGTCGAACTCTTACAAGAATGATTAGTATGTCACCTTGTAGTTTACATCGAGGATGCGATACTTGCAATCGGGTAATTGCAGTTTTCACTTCAAAGGAAACGGCACCCCCATAGTTGCTCTGTCCCTGTACGAACGAAACCACACAAAATTTCTATGGCTGCCCCGTGTGACAAAGATGAAACAGAATGCAGTCTCAGCAAAACCATTAGCATACACACGCAATGAACGCACAAGGCAGACATTAGAAGTGAAAACAAAAACACACACAAAAAACAGCTGGTCAAGAAACGCAGTTCATCTTTGATAGAAGCAGCTGTTACAATCAGTCAGTAGTTGTACACGACATTACTCGCATATGACATTACCAGTTCTCTGGCAACAGGCTACTTGACGTTTTCTGGATTTGCAATTTACAATACATATAACTTTAAGCATAATAGAAAAGCATTTAAAATGAAATCCCAGCTCACAGTGTCTAGCCACGCACCAAGGGTTCGATACTAACTCCTTTCAGCCCATCATATCCATTTCAGCAAACTCCTCTTGAGTCGTTTTTTACGACACGCTTTTTAGATGAAGTGGTCTACCCTCCCTTCACCCTTTCCAAGCGGGGCCCTAGATCCAAACGCGATAAAAGTATCCGAGCTCTATATCTTTCAAATCACATCCCTTATATTAAACTGTGAAATTAATGCGGTGGTCTCCCTTTGACAACTTCAATACATTTACATTATTATGTCTTTCGGTCCCGGTTACAGTGTAAAAATATTTGTTCTTAAATGTTCTTAGAAGTAAATTAATCTATCATAATATTGACAACATCACCCATTAATTATCAATTCCTCAATTAAAAAAGTGGGGCCTCATGGTGTTCAGATTTTGAAGTACAATCCAGATGAGTTAAAACAACATGGCATCTTTCCAGTCTATCTGCAGTTTTATTTCGTTTCTTTTTCCAGACTCGTTTGATTGCAGCCATGTTTAGATGGAACAAGCGAATAAAGCCTTTAGGGAGCTTCTTCTTTGGTGTTAGCCCTGAGTTCGACATCGCTATCTACACTCTGTGTTACTTGACCAACCCCAACAAGAGGTGTTCAGTGGTTCTAGATGGACACAAAGTCAACATTCAAACTTTAAACAGCTCTGGCCACATTGGTACGGCATATCCTGAAGTCCCACAGATACAACGATTGCGTACCAGAGCTTAGGCAGTTCATCGTGCTGCTTAGTCGAGCTGGGAAATCTGCTAAAGTTCTACATGTCGTCAGTAAATGTCCATATTTCCTTGTTTTTTTTTTTTTTTTTTGTTTTTTTTAACTTTGCTTCTTCTCTCTTTCTTTCTCGCTCTCAATTTCCTAATTTATGTCTGTTTTTTTTTTCATGTCTTTCTAACTTCTTCCTTCCTTTCTTTCTTTCTTTCTTTCTTTCTTTCTTTCTTTCTTTCTTTCTTTCTTTCTTTCTTTCTTTCTTTCTTTCTTTCTTTCTTCTTTCTGTCTTTCTGTCCATTTCGCTTTCTAAATTTATGTCAGTCTTTTTTTTTCGCTCTTTTTTTTTTTTCTTCTTACGTCTGTTGTTCTTCGTCCTGTATTGAAAAATGCGCCTTTAATGTCAATCAGTTATATTTGTTGCCAGATTCTGAAATTTATTGGGGTCCTTCCCATTTTAATAATCCCTCTTCCCTGCTGAGCTAGAGGCACCATTCCGTGGTTAAGGGGGGGGGGGGGGGTGAAGGGGGATAGGTGCCCTGCTTCCCTAATAAGCATGTCATATAAGGCGAATAATCAGGGGAGTTTCATTTGAAGTGTGAATGCATCAGCCTGGGAGACGAGGAACCAACAATCTACTTACAAATAAGCCCTGGTTGTAAAATGAAAAATTTGGACACTTTTAACCTTTGGCAGTTGGAAATCGAAAAGATTAGCCTAACGGCGCTACTCAAGTAAAATTTTGAGTTAAAAATCTACCCAAATTATTGTAGGGTTCTCGCCGGTGCTACGGAGTTCGCTTAGATTCTTTGGTCTCAGGCTTGAATTAGAAGTGGAACGAAGCACTAATAGGTTACTACCCTTGTGCCATGTTGTTGATCAGTTGTATAAACTAAACTAAATATCTTCTGTTATAATTGTGGTATATTTGTATTTGTACCAAATTTAGTAACTGAAATGTTTTGTTGAACCAAGTATGAGTTGTGGCTTATTCTTCCTAGGTGTGCGATGTTCTCACACTAAGCATGTCTAGGTCATCCATGGCGGGGTGTTTTTTTTTTAAGTCGACCACAAATGACGTCGCGGTACAGTCCAGTATTTTAGAGGGTAGTAAGAGCGGGACTATCCTTCTTTTCTGTGCTCTAGTGGTAGGAGCAGATTATCCGTGTTTTCTGTGCTCTATTGGTAAGAGCGGACTATCCGTGTTTTCTGTGCTCTATTGGTAAGAGCGGATTATCCGTGTTTTCTGTGCTCTATTGGTAAGAGCGGATTATCCGTGTTTTCTGTGCTCTATTGGTAAGAGCGGACTATCCGTGTTTTCTGTGCTCTATTGGTAAGAGCGGATTATCCGTGTTTTCTGTGCTCTATTGGTAAGAGCGGATTATCCGTGTTTTCTGTGCTCTAGCGCGTTTCTTCCAAAGCCAGTGTTTTCGCGAGTTAACCTAACCATAACCCTAACCCTAACTCCTAACCCAAACCTAACCAAAACTATACGCGTAATCTACCACTCCCTGAAATATTTGATTGTCCCGTAACCTGTTGATTTCCCCTGTTTGTGGTCGGCAAATAAGAAAGTACCTTTGGTGGTACCCGGCCCAGATGAGGGTTTTTTTCTGCCTATTTTCCTATCTTCCTATCTTATTGATAACAGGCACTGGTACTCTGAAAAATGAGTGCTTAGAAGGGTTGAATGTCAGACGGGCCTGCGTGCCCAATTTGTAACCTTTTGAAAATAAAGTTTGTTCGTTCGTTTGTTCTTTTGGGTGTGATTTTGTTGTGTGTAATTTTGGCTGTGCTTGTTATATCTCCTGTAATGATTTTATTTCATGGAAATTATGTTCTGTCTTCTGTCCTTGAGATCTAGTCCTGAGTTGTACGGATACGACCTTAGAGTTCAATACTTCGAGTTTGGTAGGAGGATTCATTTTGGTAAGACTCGCCATGCTCTTGCGCGAGTCTTCAGACCCAAATGTCATCGCTGTCCAGCCCGCTCTAAAGACTGGCCAGAAGTGGAGGGTCCTCGTTGCGATTGAATCTGCGCAGAACGCACTAAAATTGAAGGAGATAATGGGATACACTCAAACCGACCGTGGAGGCCTAGGGCAAGGGAAGGTCAATTGGTGGTCAAAGGCCTCAGCCAAAGAACGCCGAGACATGGTAATACAAACGGTGAGGGACAACGAAAACGAGGTTCGTTTTCAAAAAGCAGCCCAGCAGTCGCAGCAGGGCCATTGGGTCAGCCTGGAGAGCGCATTGCCAAGAATACTTACATGGGGTGATATCTGGCGAATGACCCCGCTGCGACTGAGCTTTATCGTTCGTTCGGCGTACGATGTATTACCGTCCGGTGTTAACATGGTTAAGTGGTCTGCGACAAACGATCCGACTTGCCGTTGTGTAAAGCGAAGCAGACGCTAGAACACGTCCTGTCCGCGTGCAGGAAAGCCCTAGGCCAAGGCCGACATACCTGGCGACACAACAAGGTGCTAAAAGAGTTAGCAGCCGTTGTTGACCAGGCTAGAATGAAGGCTAATGCTAGAGCCAGTTCTACCATCGTCCCCATTCGTTTCCTCAAGGCTGGGCAGATTCAAAAAGGTACGGTCAACCGAAACGCATTCGCTCCATCTGTGCTAGACTCTGCGAGGGACTGGTTACCGGCGGTTGATCTGCCAGGCCATGAACGGTACCCCGAGTTAATCCGGAAGACCGGTCTGCGACCTGACATAGTTCTCCACTCTGCGGAGAAACGACAGCTCATCCTGATTGAGTTGACCGTCCCGTATGAGTCGCGTTTGGACGAAAATCACCTGTACAAGCTCGAGAAGTACAGTGATTTAGCAGCCGGTCTGAGGAGAGACGAGGCGTACACGGTACGTGTCTTTGCCGTCAAAGTGGGAGCGCGAGATCTCGTCTCCACTTCATTGTACAATGTGGTTAAAGAACTAGGATTGCGCGGTAATGAACGGAAACGAACACTTAAAAAACTGGGCGAGGCAGCCGAAAGGGCCTCGAGCTGGCTTTGGACGCAACGCAACAACGTAGGGGACGGGCCTCGGTGAGCTGGTCCGAGTCTCTAGTGGAAAAGGGTTTCTCACCCTTTGAAAGTCCATCGTGTCCGAATTGTCTGCCAGTGTTCCTCTGCCACCTGCTAACAAAAGTGCAACAAGTGTCCGGTAAACCAAACGTAAGCTTGTCGCTCGGTCGTCCAGGCACGCTGACTGTTCTAATTAGGCTGCCGCAACGACTTCTTATCTCACAGTACCTTCTGCGAAACCACCAAGTCGTCTTGTCCCTATCCGAAAGAAAAACACCATCCGGTAATCTCGTGCAGCAGGGTACCAGCCCTGAGCTTCATGAACTCAGGTGTGCCCACCTCCGAAAGTGTATAGGAATCGTGGGCCGAAACACTTGTCGACGAGGATAATTTCTACTGATGACTGGTAGATCCCTGCTGTACTTGCTCCCTGTGAGTTTATTCCTATTGTTTTAACGTCCACTTAGCTTCTGGCGTCGGTTCGGGGCTTTGTTTTCCCTAGAAAAAAAAAAAGTACTGCTAATCAACACAAAGTATCTAAAACAGATGCCTGCACTCACCATGCAGTATTCATGATAGAAGCGCTGGGGGGGGGGGGGGGAAATAACCCTTTCAAACGGGTGTCAGCACTACGTCATAGAATGAAAAAAAGGCCCGTGTAACCTCGTCTTGTTTGTATATCCTTGCTTTCCTGTCTAAGTCCATGACCTACTTTAGGTGAGAGTAGGTCAAGATTTGTCCACCTTGCTGTCAAAATAGAAGAACGGTTCTATCATTTGATGTGGGGTTTCGCAAAGTGAGAGTTTGGTATCATCTGGATACAGACAAGAGATGTACATTATTACTGACTTCTGAAATATAATTATAATGATTTAGTTCCACATTAGTCTCTCCCAAATAAACTAGGTCACGTTTCATTGATACATTTTTTTGACTGGTCTGATGTCCAGGGGTGGGGGGGGGGGGGGGGGGGTCCCTTTGAGGGGGGGGGGGGGGGGGGGGGGGGGGGTGGGGTGTGACGCTATGTTGTTTGCTTTCTGGCTTGTCTTGCATTTACGTTTTTCTTCTGAGAAAGGGAATGCCTGTGACATAGGTTGCAGCACTCTCCAGGGGGACTGTGTGTTGGACCCAGTTTCTAAATGTTTTTGTAGTGTTAAAAACGATAGCGTGCTGAAATAAACAACAGGCGATAGCAACGGCATCGCTGAACACCCCGTCGCAGTGTGCGAAGGTCGGGTGACTTAAGGTCGACCAATCAGAAGTAAGCTAGTGTGTATATGGGCGGTCTGTGGGGGGGGGGGGGGGGGGCGTCTAGCCCCTCCTCCTAAGTGGCTTCATGAAAACAAAATTTAACAGCAGAAATATGTTACGGCAGCGCATTGCTAAACACGTTAACCTTTAGTCCTGTTAGTAATGATTTCCAATCCTCATTTATGCAGCTTTCTAATTATTTTTTTTTTTTAATAAATTAGATCTCTGGTGATCGTTTTAATTAGGGCTGTACCAAATAGTGATTTTCACTATTAGGCCGAATACGAATAGCTGGACCAACTATTCAGCCGAATACAAATACGAATAGTGAATCATCATCATCAGGTGCTTCGCCGACTGGTGGGGGCGATTATGCCTCGCCACAATCTGGCCCTGCAGCATGTATTAGTTCGTGTGCTGACACACCTCCATGCCATGCAACAAGACTGTTAAGAATCTTTTCTCGTTGTCTTCCTCTATCCCTCCTTCGACATATCTTTCCTGTGGTCACCACATGCTCCATTTTTCCCTCATCTTATAACATGGCCGAAAAATGATGACTGTCTCCTTCTGATGTCTGTGAGTAGCTGTCTTCGGGCTCCCGTCTCTATCGAAACCTCTTGGTTGTTTAAAACTGGATGTATGTAGCAAGCAAGAATTATGTTTGTAACCTTCAAGGACAAAGATATATTGCATAAGATGTTCTTCATTTTATAAA